GCATGACTCAGAGTTTGCTTACAGGTGCGCACATTCTCCCACCAAGTTTATTTTTATAAATCACAACCTTTGCGTGGGAAGTGGCGTACGCCACTTTCAAGCCCTGTTTTGGTCCTTAAGCAGTATCTAAAGAATGCCTCAATGGAATTTCTTCAAATTTGGCACAAACGTCCATTTGGCCTCAACAATGAACTGATTCGAATTTGGTGGTTAAAGGTCACTGTGACCTTGTGTCCATTTCATTCTTGTGAATGCAATATCTCAAAAACAACTTCTTTTCAAATTTGGCACAAACGTCCACCTGGACTTAATGTGATACTTTGCCATTTTTTGACCAGCTTTGTATCAAAACAATGTGGGGAGTATGTGTAAAGGAACTGTGGTAAACTTGCCTCCATCTAACCAGTGCCCAGATATCCCTCCTTGTCCCCTAATGAAACTCTGCCGTAGGGCTGGGCGGTATACTGGTTTGTACCGAAAACTGGTCTTTATTTTTGTTATGATACGGCAATACTGGTGAATAGCCCAATCCAGGGTTCGAACTATGTGGGAGCCAGTGGGAGCTGAGTTCCCATAAAGAGGGCATTAGCTCCCATGAAAGCTGTAAAACCATACATCTGTGGGGGTCTCTAACAAAACTTTAACAACCACTATTTTATCACAAATTATGTATTTTTCAGTGTAATGAGTATTATTTACGTTAGCAAGATAAATAACTAGTCCAAAATAAGGACATGTTTTCCAAAAGAACGACGATATTCTCCCGTGAATGACAGGCCTTTGGCTGCAATTACGGCGCCAAGACACCATGGGGTGCCGTAGGCCTGTAGCCTATATGTGTTGTTATATGTGCTGTAGATGTGATGAAATAGAGCTCCGGTAGCTGACATCACGCAATCCTGGCATGCAACAGTCAAAATCAAAACAATGCCATATTGGCAGGAAAGTGCGCTGTTCAACTGACTGCCAATAGGACAGCTAACAGCTAACTCGTCTCTTCTTCGGGCTGTATTAATATAAAAGTGAACATGGTGGACAGCTGTTGTGCCCTTGGGTGTCAGAAAAGTCGATACGTGAAGGGGAGAGCATTTTATTGAATCCCGAAACATCCCGAAAGATGGCGGAGGTGGATTACTGCCATAAAACGTGCACGAAGCGAGCAGAAGAAAACAGAGCAGTGGGAGCCCACAGGCAATGGATTCCACTTGTGTAGTGATCACTTCGTATCAGGTACAGAATCTGACGCTCACTAACTTTAATGTTTATTTTACAAGCTTTTATTGCGATTTCTAACCGTTTAATTTTTATAAAAGGCTAGTTTGACCTTTGAATTATGGTGTGGATTTTGTGGAGCTAGTAAAAGGATGTTGCTCACTCAATGAGCAGCGCAAAACAAAAGTGGGATAAGAAAATTACTTACATTATTGTATTACCGTTATATGTAAGGCTGCCAGATTGTATCCATTTGTACTCCTCCAGGCCCTTGTAGGCTTTCAGGGACTCTCTGGAGTAGGACGAAGGAGAGTTGATCAAGTAATTGTAGATGTCGGGATACTGCAATATTGGGAAATTGTCTGCTCTGGCTGTCTCAATACTCCTGAAAAGCACCCCGCGGTCATTGTAAGGGTCAGCTATGATTAATCAGTCAAGTTTTGCGATATATCGCTCAATTTCCGGGGCTTTAACGTGCAAAGTGAACTCTGACGACCTGAAATCAGCACTGGCGTCATTCATTTTCACTCAAGGACTGCCAACATGGTGGTGTAAACAAACCGAGTCACATGACGTCCGGAGCTCTATACGGCTGATTAAAATTTTTAAGTCCCATAGCTGTGCGGGCATGAATTGAGTTAACAGTGCAAGCACTGTTATTTTGGAGACCCCCACAAAGCTCAGTTTATAGTTCGAACCCTGACCCAAACAACATCCGGAACGTGTGTGGCTGGAAAGTAGGGGACCCATTTCAGCGCTGCACATCCCAGGCGTGCTAGAGCCGGCTAGAGTGAGAGTATAGAGAAAAGTTTAGAGGCGAGAATGGCTGCCAGAGAGAGTCCTGAAAGTGAAGCAACTGTACACGTTGCTGAAGAAGAACATGATGACCCAGAAGAACTCATACCAAAAAGAGCAGTGTTTCTCCTACATGCAACCACACACACACACACACACACACACACACACACAGGTGAGCACACTAGAGCATGGCTCAGGCCGCATTTTCCTGACTGAAGCCGACCCGAGTCAGAGACAATTATAACCGAGCCCGGCCCGAAGCACGCCACTAATGGAGCGGAGCTTGTGTTGCGTTAAGGCGTTGTCACCTAAATAACAAATTCCAGCACTTGAATAGGCTGTAGCACAGCACAGCAGCATGTCAAGTGGGCAGAACCCGAGGAAAATACTGTCAAATACCGTGAAACTGATATGATTTTTTTTTAAAAACCTGTGATATGAACATTTTGTCATACCGTCCAGCCCTCTGCCGTCATCTGGCTAAGTTTGGCTGGCTCAAACTACAGGCTGTACTCCCACATTTTTGTATTGCCTGCCACCTCTGCCCCCATTGCCGCCACAAAGTACAGAAGTGGATCAAGAGCGGACCCGTCCCCCTCTCTCACTCTCAAACCGAAACACAGTGCTGATTGCATATCAAGATTATGTTACTGCACTGCCTGTTTCTTCCCCACACTGCTTGTAGAAACATATTTTAGTGCCGTTTATAGCTGTAATAGCGGGTTTGTAAACAGGAAGTGGGCGTCATCCTGTTTCCTGCACAGTGAAAACGGAGGCAAAAAAGACTGAGATCAGTCAGATTTCTCACCTCAAATGTTTTCAGAGATGTGTTTTAGCTTCCTGTTTAACTGTCATATGAGATTGTTTCTCGCTAGCTGGCTGCCATTGGTCTGGTGCAGCACACTGCATCGTGGTAGTTGTAGGTTTTCTCCCTCTTGTGCAAAAGCCTTATCTCTGTTTTCTCTTTCCATTTTCAAGTATTTGCATCTTTTATAGACATCCTAGTTTTATTGAACGGCCATCTTTCCAGCAGTGAAGTACCTCTTTAAGAATTCACTTATCCATAATTTTACAGGATAAAATGATGAAGTGGTGACATTTTATATCCAAAAGGTCAAAGGTCAACTTCACTGTGACATCATAATGTTCTGCATAAAACACCTTTGTGGCCATTATTCGACATCATATTTCAGGAACAGAAGGGGAGACATTTGGTCAGATACTGAGGTGGTGACTCTAATCTTGAAACTGTGCGGATTGTATAGATCTTCTGTGTGTGAAGCATCCATGTTTTCACTGACATGGATGTGAACTTATGCAGAGGCATAAAACCACGAGGCAGTGGTTCTAGGTCTGTATTTCAAAAGATGTAGGAAAGACAGACAGTGACACAAATGCTGTTTATTTCACAGTGAAATTGTAGGTTTGATGTTTTGTTAGCAGATTAAAGCTGCAATCTGCGATGTTTGTCCTGTTCTAACTGCAGCGCAGATGACAGTGCTGATGATGACAGTATCAATAATGTAGAATAGCATAAAGAAAGCATCTGCAATTAAGGTTCAGTCAGAGACAGGAACTGACTATTTGTCTCCAGTGATGAATACAACTAGAGGGACAGAGCTCTAAAGAGACAGTGACAAGAATTCTGCTGAGAAAACCACACACATTCAGTTGTGTGTTAACTGCACTTCACCATACAGGTGAATAATACAATAACACATGAGTAAAAATATTACAGATTTCAGCTTTAACATTTGTCCTACATTTTAACCCATGATGCATTTTGGGTGTTTGTCTAATTTTATTGCTTTTTTTTCTCAACTGTAACTTAAAAACACACAACAGTTAATCTCTTTAAAATGTGGGTTTTAAGATGTCAGTAACACGTGTACTTCACCAGTAAGCTGAAACTACTGCTGTACTTCACTATGAATACTTCAACTACATAAAGCTGATAGTACTGTTATACTTTTACCACTCATACTTTAATTACGTGAAGCTGAGAATATTTCTGCTGCAGGTCACTAAGGAAACAAAGAGGACAGAGATAATGTATATTAAGAGGGGTGGGGGGGTCGTTGTTTGTGATGGTGCAATGTAACTAAGTACAGTTACTTCAGTACTGTAGTCCAGGACAACTTTGAGGTATTTATTATGTTTTTCACTCTGTTTTGCTCTTCCAGCATCAGTCCAAACTTAAAAATAGCCATGGTAACTTTGGGTTAACCTCAGTTATGGACCTTGAAATTTAGGAGAAGAGTGGACATTGAGCTCATCTTCCTCATTTATTCTTTCATTTATCATTTTGTGTAACTGCTTATCCTGTTAGGGGTCATGGGGGGTGGAGCCTATCCCAGCTGACACTGGGTGAGAGGCAGGGTTCACCCTGGACAGGTCACCAGACTATCACAGGGCTGACACATAGAGACAGACAACCATTCACACTCA